TTACGATTTCCTTCATGCGCAAGCGGATGCCCAGTCTAAGTCGTTTTCATATCCTTAGAGCAACTTACTGTACATACATATACTACACATTAAAATGAGTAAACGATTCCATTTTCAATCTATTCTGCACCTTCCTGCCAGCAAACCAAGGGATCTTCTCGTAAATATCGAGCTTCTTGCTAAAGTAGGCACCAAGATTATTTGGCTGGACTCTTTGTCCAGCACCCCGGCTCTAATTTTCTAGTAGATATCTTGGACCAAGAAGAATAAGCGATTGTGGCAAGCGCCTTGTTACACGAGGTTTGGCCTATAGTCTGTATCGATAGAGTAGGGGACCAAATGTGCGGCGGGTAGAGGAGCTCATTGACTATAAAATTTACCAATCGAGCCACAGTATGTCAAGATATGAGTGTTATATTATATATATATTCCACTGTTGCGTGGCGCGCATAAGGGGGCAATATCAAATCCAGATATCAGGAGGAGACAGGGAAGTTCTTGACTATGGTTTAATATGTACATGTAATACATGCCGACATAAGCGCACTATTACTCATACCGATTCTCAACTACTCTATTATTCTTAGCATAGCATACCTGCATAACTTCTATATTGTTTTGCGAGGAATGTATTCATTCCTTTAGGGAGTACAAAAGAGAGTGTAGATAGACTGCCAATGCGGGAGAGGAAAAAAAAGGGGAGGGGGGACTTCTTAAGAGAGAAATCCATATTACATTGGCCAAACAGATATGGTTTACGTAAAGAAATGGCATAACCCGTGCGTAAAAAAATATTGTTTTCAAGAGAAATACTGCCCGCAATAGATGCAACTAGAAAGAGAATATGAAATATATTCAACCGTATGTATGATAAAGAAAAAGATACAGAGTCAAACGGGAAAGTGAGAGGAATGACGAAGTATATCAGATAAATAGGGGGAATTCGCCCTACAAGCTGTTGGTATGGCAAATTTTTCAAATCTACTGCAAAAGACCCATAAAAATGGTAATAGAAGAAAGGATCCACACGGAGGATGGAATCGATCTTGAGAAAGCATCTCCAGTTCCAATATAGGGATTAGGAGTTGGGTTTCCTGTTGGCGAGACTGAAATCGTGGCGAAGGTTGAAGGCTGGGCGGCGGCAGGGTATGCTGATGGGGCATATGTCGGAACCTCTTCAGGAAGTGCAGTGCCTTGAACCAGCCCCACGTATTTACCAGTGGCTGCACCAGGAATAGTTTCAGTGACGAACTGTACCTGTGGGACTGTGACTATGGTAGTACGGGTGGTAGGTTCAGCAGCGGAGTATGATATCACTTGAGAAACGGTAATTTCAGTGTGAGGGGCCTGGGGTGGAGGGGTAATGAGGGTGTTGCCGCCGGTTCGAGCTGCTGGTGGTGTTGCCGCTGGCGGTGGGGTTAGGGTAATTGTCGACGGGATTGCGGTAATGATACCAGGATTTTTCGGGACGTCTGCAGCACAGATGCCAGCGAAATAGGAGAGAGAAGATTGAATTTCATCATCAGAAGCACCCCAGGACTGGATACATGCGATTACCGCAGACGTGAATTTGGAGGAAGGGCAGAAGCAGCTAATGTCGCTGTTCGAGTTGCATTTTGGAACCAAATTGAGCCAGGTATTCAGACATTGTGGCAGTACTTTGGGGCAGGGAGCTTCGATGGGGATAGCTGGCGGTAAGACGGGAGTTGAAGGACCAGGTGAATTTGTAACCGGGAAGGCTGACGACGAAGAAGGTGCTGCTGATTCTGATGGAGCTGGATATGTGTTGGGGGGCGTTGGTAAACCCGTGGGGTAGGAAATACCTGATGAATCAGATGGAGGAGGAACAGAGCATCCTGGACACACAGTACCAGTAGTGGTCACCGTAATAGTAGAAACCGTATTAGTAGTATATGTTATTTCTGTAGTGCCAGAGGTGATCGTTCCTGTCACTGGGCAAGTAGTGACAGTAGTATATGTACTATATGGTTTTTATTTGCGCCCTTAGTCCCAATTTTCCGAAGCATGAATACAATGAAGGAAAAGGGGATACTCACATTTCGGTGACAGTCAAATCTGACGGATGAGGTTGTGTGACTGGCAATGCACTTGAGCCGGGCAGTGTCGCTGTAGATTCGCCAACTGGATAGGTTAAAGTGTCAGGGTTTGGAACAGTCGGTATCGGTGGAGTGGTAGATCCTGCAGGGCTTGTAGGGGTAGGATACGCTGGGGTTTGGCTGGTAGGGATTGGGCCAGTAACGATTGAATCGGGCGATGTTGGTGTGATAGTTACTGGACATATTGTGGTTGAAATAGCGATCGTAGAAGTGACAACCTCAGTAGAGTCGGCAGGACATGAAGGAACCTCTGGGCCACAGTGGGTAATAGTGATGATGGATGTGGTAAAGACTGTGGAGGTGGAGTAAGAGATAGCCTCCGTTGGATATGGAGTTCCTCCCGGAGTTACGTCTGGAGCAGTGACCACCGGAGGAGCAGTCCCAACGGGAGTTGTTTCTGGGGGTGTGCTCCCCGGAGGTGTGTTTTCTGACGGTGTGGCTCCTGGAGGATACGTTTGAGAGAGAGTTCCCGGTGTAGCTCCAGGAGCTGTTTCAGATGGAATTCCCGAAGATCCTGAAGGGTATATTTCTGAAGGAAGTCCGGGGGTAGCTCCAGGACTTGTTTCAGACGGAGTTCCCGGGGGAGTCCCCGCAGGATAAGATCCCGAAGGAAGTCCTGGTGTAGCTCCAGGAGGAATTGTTTCAGATGGAATTCCCGAAGAAGATCCTGAAGGGTATATTTCTGAAGGAAATCCTGGAGTGGCTCCAGGAGGGTACGTTTGAGAGAGAGTTCCCGGAGGAGTTCCTACAGGATAAGATCCTGAAGGCAGTCCTGGCGTAGCTCCAGGAATCGTTTCAGATGGAGTTCCCGGAGGAGTTTCCACAGGGTATGATTCGGTAGATGTTGGTGCAATTGACGATTCTGGTAACTGGGCAGTTGGGGTCAAAGATACAGGATATGATTGACCTTCCGACTCACGATCCGGGGGGGAGCTAATGGGGTACGACAAATTTTCATCCGTGGGTACCACTACAGGCTTGCTGGGGATGTCGGGGGGGCCGCAGTCGAAGTTGATTTTGTGAATTGCGAAACCACAATCATCCAGTTCGCTGTACTTAGGGAGGCCGAATCTTACGGACACTGCCCCTCCGCATTGTGTATTCTGCACCTCTGAACCGCCCTGCGAGCAGGGAGTGGTGTGTTTGCAGCTCGAGCCATCCGGCATGGAATACACAAAGGCGATATCTGTGTCCTTATCGACGGTGATCTGGAACGAAGTGATTGAGAAGCCGTCGGATTTTCGGTATGAGATTTCCGGGCTGCCATTTGTGATGCCTTTCAATAGTTTGCCTTCAACGCATTTGCTCTATAATTGAGGTTAGAAAATCAAGCTGAGCATGGCAACGTTAGCATGTTTAAGGCGTATGGTACCTGGAAGTTGCTCTTAGGTGGCTTTCGATTGCCACATGTGAATCCTGAGAAGTCAAAGTCACCGAATGTAGAGAAAGACCCAAGTCCGAGACCCTTCCAGTCGAACCCAGACTTCTGGTTGTCCGTACATTTGTTATCACAGTTGGAGGGATTCGGGAAGTATTTATTTGTATCCCAAGAAAACTACCCACAGTGGTCAGTTTCTGATACCCGGAGGAATCGCGCAGCTAAAAAGGGAATACCTACCGTGGCACTTGTTTGTTGAACTGCCGTAGCAAGAATCGCCACTACACTGAGTGTAGTTTTCATGGCGATTGAGGCAAACCTTGCAGGAGCTGAAAAACAGAGTATGATATGATATCAAGAGAGAGAAACGTAAATAAATGAGATATATCGCATACCAGAAGCGATTCGGTGAATGGAAGACTCAGTACCAGCGAGTGACAGGTCAAGTATATCAAAAAATATACAAAAAAAGATGCGGAAGCCCAAACGAGTGGTGCCAATGCTCCAAAGAAAACTACCAAGAAAAAGGGAATAAATGTCAAAGGAGAAAATGAACGTGGTAACAGAAAGATAGAAACGGCCTCAATTGAATGGGAATTGCGAGTATTAATACACTCCCTTTGAAAGCTAAGTGCTCTGCAAAGAGGGACCCTGTTCCGAGCATTTAGCTACGATGGACCAGCGGCGTCTTTGTCGAAACGACCCAATTTAGAAACTGAAGGCTTCCCTTGACCAAGCGCTAAGCATGAAGACACATTCATGGCGTTTCATTATTTTGATTCGCATTCTCATTTTCCAGTTTGGCAGTGACTAGAACGCATCTCGCTGGCACCCCGTTTTTCTCGGGCGCGAAACTTCCATTCTTCAGAAGCCAGAGAAAGAGAGATGAAACAAAGCCAGAAAGCCTAACTGCCAATAAAATCATCTTGTTAGCCAGAAAATGGCGGTCAAAACCAGCCGGTGTTGCAGAATTATCTCTTTTTCTCAGAGTGGAGAGCAGGATGAGAGAGTTCAAGGTCGAAACGCCGTTGTTCGACTGGACAGTGGAAGCTGCCCGAAGTTGAAACGCCGTCTTTCGGCAACGATGCGCCCAGAGCTTCAGCCCAGTGGAACCTTGAGCCTGCTGCGATCGCCAAGATGGCTAGCTGCCGACTAGCACCAGCGCATCGTCAGTGTATCGTCCCTCTGTTTGGCCCATATCCATGTTTATTTTTGTGTGCTGCAGATGCCGTGAAACCCTTGCAGGCCACTTGGCTGTGCTTCTCACCCGCTCTCTCAAACGCCCAAGACAACTTTAACCCTGCAGGTACCTGATGAAGAAGAAAATCCGAGCCGCCGCCGCCGTCGCTTTGGCCATCTGCACAACATCACACTGACCCGGTTCGATGATAAGAGAGGTATTAATAGTCCGGCGGCAACCTTGTTACCGTTCCTGGGTGGCCCTCGCCATGGCGCTTAAGGCTCAGGTATGGCGGTCGCCTCTGCTGGGGGCCAGTTTCTCTCGGATGTAATTTCTCTTTGAAGGATTCTCATGGGGACATTGGAAAGCCAATACGAGCCCCAGAATATATGAACTGATTTCATGTCTTGTAGGAGTCTCAGGATAATTTGGGACCAATTGCTTATTCAGATCGTCATTATCACCGCTAGTGAAACTGCTTTGTGGTTCATTTTATGAGTGTTCGAAGGGAGGGGGTTGTAATAACATTGAATGAGAATACTAATATTGGTATACAATGGTCAATGCCATTGATCAGTAACTTCAAATATGAGGCTCATTGGTACTTTTATATATAAAAAGTACTGTATCTGAGAGAGAGAGTCTGAGAGGAACATACTCTAACTATAAAAAACTCACCTATCAATTAGTAATCAAGTTTTGTTGGTAGCCTCATTGAAGGCTACTGCACCCGCCCGCTAGACATCAGAAGTTACAATTAACCTTCTACCTCCATCAAGAAAATTAAAGTAGAAGTGATAAAAGCTCTAAGAACTGATGAGATTAAAACCAGAAGCGCTCTGTTATTATATAATATATGAGAAATGGATGATTAACTAGCTAGAACTTAATACGCTCTAATTACTTGATGAAGCAATCCATCTACAAAGTTACTAGAACTGGTATACACTATTGAATTTAATGATGTATTGAGAACTGAAGAGAAGAGAAAAAGAAAGAGTTCATAGATTACCATAGCAAAAATAAAAAAAATCAGAAGTTGCTTATTATTTCATCAACTTCACATTACCAATCTACCCACTTTATCAAATTACTACTATGATATCTGCTCTATAGGAAGAGGTAGCCAGTATTACAATATATAAGATTTTATAGTAGTAATAATTGCAATAGTGGAAGAACAGTAATAAATTGATTAAACCAATAACAATTAATTCATTATATATATATATATATATATATATATTATATTATCATCAGCCCAACAGTATCATTTTGGAAATATGGTTCGCCTGTACAAAGAACTGGTTGTCATACCTGCCGGAGCGGCCTGATATAGATCGCAAATGAGGAAAATATCGATAGATGCTTCTGGAAACCAAAAGAAGGCAAGTCCAAAACAAAGTGCAAACGGAGAAAGACATTACCTCCGATTCTGAGATGTATTGCTTGCTGGCTTAAAACCATATTGGACCAATGTTCTGTCACCTAACTGGAAATTTGTCATAACCCGGCCGCTACCTAGGGACGGGCTTCCAAGCATGCACTGCAGTGAATGTAGAATAGTAATCATGATATGTGAAGACCTTTAGTGATCTCCTTAGACAATCGAGCGCGTTGACAAGTAATATGGCTTAGCACAAAGCAAAGTCACGGGATATATAGTTAGTGCGGTCGACATTATGGAAATCCTTGATTCGAATGCACGCGATACTTCAGATGATTGAAATAGGGAAAATAGGGGGATTCTCGAGTCCTAATATTGTAAAAGAAGTATATGGGATTCAGGATTGACAACGCCCCTACAACCTCCTATTCACTCCTCTCCTGTCCCGCAAAACTCAATGATTATACATAGCGCTTGGCTATCCCTATGCACGGATCACCATGATGGAAGACATAATTCAGAGCCTCGACGGTGAGGCCGCATGTCAAAAACGCATTGGGTGGCCCCTTATATCATACTCTCTACAAGAACGCCCGCTGCCAGAAACGACTTGAAGATACTGCTCTCCTGGCCAGCCATATCGGGATAACGTGGGATCGCGGTCATCGATTCCACCAACGTATATTAAAGTTAACGCGAAATGTCGTATACAATGCGGGAAGTAATTCATGACGGTTTTCGCTAGCATTGCTGCCACATTTTCTGGAAGGGAGAGAAATTAAAAAAAAAAAAAAAAAAAAAAAAAAAAAAAAAAACACCTAGGATCCTTCAGCTTCTTATTATGAACAAAAGTCCCTTAGCCGCTTTTCAAAGGAGAATGGAATAAAGAAGGGAAGAGGGGGCGCGGCCTAGACGAGACTATCCACACTGGAGGTCTTTCCGTCTCGGTCCGATTGACGGGGACTGTTTCGAATTCGCTCGTTGTGGTAGTTGATCGATACATCCGTGGTGCGCACAATGCCAGTTTTGTCCATTATACGGTCCTCGTCGCTGTCGGATATGCTAGGTCCTAAACCGAATTTGTCGGTCTGGGTAAGGTTCGTGGACCCGCCTTGCACGTCGATCTGGTGTCGCGCTTCGGCACCCATCTCAAACATGCCATCGTCCTCGATGTGTGACTTTAATTGCGTCCCGTGGGTCGCATATCCGGTGTTCCCGTAGGTGTGTGTGCGCGTGTCACTGGTTGAAGTACCTAGAATGAATGGTACGTAGCGTTTGAGCACGGGCTTAATCCCGGGCCCGCACGCGCAGATGATGGCGATGTTAACTTCAAGTGACGAAGCCGAAAAACCAAAGTTCCCGATCGGCTTGGAAGGGTCCACGCCGGTGTACACGGTTTGGATGAACTGGACAAGACGCCAGAAACTGATAATCGTGACACTGCATACACCAAACCGTTTAGTCATGGTTCCAGATTGAGGGACTTGTTCATTGACAGTACTTACATCACTCCGAGACCGAGGAGGACCATGACTGCAATCTTGCGTCTCCGTTTCAATTGCAACTTATAGGTGATGAGGCAGGGAACAGCAAGAACAAGGAAATCTGTCACGATGGTAATGATGGTGCCCCAGAGGAAAAAAACTCCGTAGTCGATACAGCTGAAATTCATGCCGGGTGCCGGCACAGACCAAGCGAGCTTGATAGGCTTGCACTGGAAAATGATGACGAGTTCGGCAATAACAAGAATGGCTAAGTTGAGCGCAAACACAGACCACAGGTAGCGCACGACATGCTTGGACCCGGGCTCGAGCCGAGACATGAAGATGAGGGTCGAGGCTTTTACAGTCGGCAGGCAAACGGTGTATATAACCTGGTTCGCAAATGCCCACTATCACAAGGGTTTAGCAAATTTCTTCCTGGCCGATTCTAGAGATAAAGCTCACTTTTCTGGCCACCTGCAGGTCTGCTAGGGGACGCTTGTCCATCGGAGGCACATCAGCGAAGGGGATTCCAACATAATTGGTCTTGACGTCTACATTGCTTCCAGTCAGCAAAAGGCCAAAATCCAACGTGAATTGGATCTACTAACAGTACCAACAGACAACGCAATGCACGATGCTGAAGACCTAGACATCCGCTGTTAGTACTTGCTGTTCTATTTCTCGCTGGCTCTCCTCGTCAAACACCAACCATTGCCATTATAATGAGATAGTCATCTACCATGAAATTAGCAAAAATTCGATCATCTACCTACGAAAATCCATTCCACTGGCGCTTTCTTTACTCACCCCATCCGAACGAATACCGCGAGACCTTCCTTCCAAACAGACGCAACCCTAGGGAGAAGCCCGCGATCACCGGAAGCGCAAGAACCACGCCCAGTTCTGCGCGTTGTTGGGAATCGTCCGTCATTATATGGACATTGCCCGCTTTCGTTAGTTATCGAGTGCTAAGCTCACCAAGCTCGACAAAGATGCGATCTCCTCCCGATTTGATGCTGATGGGTTCAGCGAGAGTCAAGGTGTCCCACCAAACCTAGGAATGATAGACTGATATTGACCAGGTTTAAGATGGACGAGGATTAGGAGGAACGGAACGAATGGCAAGGGAAGATAGGGGCCAGCGAGAACAACTGGATTGGGCCATATTCTTATTATGATTAGTGTCGGTGCGAATCGCTAGTCGAGTGTCTGAAAGTTAGTCTGCAAGATACATAATTTTGCTCTCCTTGCAGTTGAAAAAAAAAAAGACAAAAAACACTCCGTGTAGATGGGTTGCTACCCCACTCAGGCAGGTGCAGGAGCACACCCTGACGCTTAGCGCCAACCGGCAGGCACTAAGGCGGCAGGGCCAGGCCAAAGCAATCGATCTCAGGCCTCATCTCTGGAGAAATGTATTTCGTAGTCTGGTCTGGATCTGCGCCCTAGGACTCGGCTGCTGGGTGCAGCGAGCGAGGAAGACATAGCTACCTTTCGTCGTTGCGTCCGCTGAATTACCATCCCTCAGCACCATGACAATGTCTCCCACGACTAACATCGCGAGTGGGCCGAGGCAAAGACAGACAGATTTTGCACGACTCCTCATCCCAAAGTGGCGACAGAGGGCTCGCCCACCAGCCAGACCCTGCTCGTTCGCTTCTCTCGAAAAGCGGAGAACGACCATCAATCGCCAAGCCTGTAGGGACCCTGAGGTTGGACCTTGGGCAGGGGCCCAGATGGCGACGGGCAGGATGACTTTGAGCGTTTCAAATTGAGGAAGAATATAATTTGAGATGCAATCGGTTTGCCCAATCTCCTCGGCCCCCTCCCCAAATCCACTGCCAGCAGGCGTCAACACCCATCTTCATTGAGGAGTGCAAAAAATATATTATGACTACCGGTTACGATGTGGCGTTCAGCCTGGACATGCACAAAACACAAGCACTCTGGAGTTTGCACTAGTTATTTCAACAAAGCAATCCGGCGATATTCGCCATGTGGCGTCGATCATGTGGCGAGACCACTTTTGTTACCCTGATCTTTTGCTTCTTGTAGCTAGCCCCTTGCGATTCTGCGGCGTCTTTGAATTTCTGGCCCTGACTCTCTCCCGTCCATGTGGAATGGATCTCGCCCTAACGTGACCGTTATTGCCTTATTGCCCTAACAATAGTGACGAGAGCTGCCCACTTCGGATAATTGCCCTCACTTGACGTGAACTGACGGGGAAAGAAAACGACTTCGCTCCCCAGCGCAGAGGCAGTGCTGCGAAGTTGACCTTTGGTTCCTGTGGAATAGCCCCAAAGTTTCGTGATGGGGGGGGAACCAAGAACCACGTTCCAAAACCCCGCTTGGATCCCTTGCTCGGATGGAAATCCAGCCGGCGAACTATGACCACACTCCGTTGCGAATCGATCCAATCATTGCCCTTGGGAAGTTCACTTTTCAGATGCATAAGAGACTACCGACCAGGGTAGCTCATCGCTTAGGACTTCATCTCCCCAGCTGTGCACGCCGGACCTTCAAGGGTTGTCGGCCGATCTAACCCTTTTGTCGTTGAGACAGACAAGAAGTTGGAACGAGGCACAGTTCGCGTTTAGGGGCTCACCGCCTTGAGTTGGTCAGCCAATGATCAGCCATCGATTGCGTGGCAGAAAAAGCACGCTACTTGTGCCTCGTTTCCAGACAAGGAAGCTGCTCTGTGGCCTTGGTGTGTGCGTGCGTAGTATGTAGTAGTCGGGACTACAGGACTGCGCTCGTGGCTACCGGTGCTAGCTAGTTTGCACTTACTGCCTGGGTCGTCGGCTAGCTGCGTGTTGACTCTCGCCTGCTTGCTTTTTCCGCCTTAGGATTTTTGTGTCCACAGGGCTTGGGTTCCCTGCATGGAAATAGTTGCGCTTGAGCCATGGCACGCAGTAGTTATGTGGTGGACTTCTGGAAAACACTTAGTTGATAAAAAGGCTGGCTAAATAACTAACTAGAGCGATTTATTAAATAATAACTAGCTTAAGAAAAGTATTTCCTTTATCTATAGCATTATGCTATTCATGAGTGATAAACCCTCTTTTGAGTCTGATATATACTAGTACTACGAGTAATAATAGAAGGTATTTTCATCATACGATACCCGGTCCTCAAGAGGCATTTGTATCAATTGTCAAAAACTTCAAAATCGTGCCCAGGATAATTTTAGAATTGTTCAGCAGCTACGCTGTAGTTTTACCTTAACCAAACCTTAATTTGGCGAGAAAATCCTTGGCCTTTAAACAGGGTCTGACAAACTCCTCCGTCCAGGCAGTTGGATGGCATAAAACTCTATCCTAACGCATTCTTCTTCAAAAAATCCATACATGACCAGCTCTATTGCTCTTGCAGGGGAGTGATAAAAGTGCCCCGGCTGCGTGACAACCTTGGAAACACCTTTCTCACGCGTTTGCGGTTAGCACCAGGGGAAAGAAGCCTCGAATAGCGGTAGGCAGGGGGGTCTCGGGCATTCTCAGGGGAACGACAACATAGATCCAAGTTCTCTCGACGAACCAATCGACCCAGGAACCAACCCCCCCCCTCCCCTCCCCCTTTCTGCGCGCGCGAATAGTTCCAAACCAGAGTCTCTCTAAGCCACCAGGAACTCCGCATCTTGTATCAAAAGGCCTCTCTATTTGAGACAGCCACGGTGTCCAAATCTGGTTTTCTGGTTTTACTCCCCTCATGGAGTACCTGAGAGTCATGCAAGTTGCGTTTGCCGGAGTCGCCGAGGTATAGTAGTAGTTATTGGTTGTGGGGATGTGCGCAACGTAAAGTGGTAGCTTCTGAGTCGTATCCTTACGAAGGGGAATATACTTTACCAAGGCCCACAGTTATTACGAGGTAGTGACTATTTGTCTCCAGGAACGAGTGCAAATTCGGCATTTTGAAAAGCATCTGAACGTGCAAACATAACCTTGGAACCTATGGCAGCAATGCATGCGATATATTGTCACCATTCTTGCACAGTCATTCGCGTCCCCTTCAGACAATATAAACACTTGCACCTAACTCCTAAATAAAGATTGCAAGCCAAATAATGAAACTTGAGCCTACCAATGAGATAGAGGTGAAACAGAGAATATGACAGAAGAGCTCAAAGATATTCCTCGAACTTGCACTCATCATTGACCAAGTTCCTCAGATATGTCATCTCAGTCGACTTGACTTCGAGCAAAAGGATGGATCCCATCCCCCTCATTCTCCGTGCTTTTTATGGGCTCTCAAATCGTCCATGTGGTCCCAGGTAGTAAATAAGCCACAAGTCGCCAAAGCGCAACATCATCGACGAGTTGTTGTTCGCGAAGGAAGATGCCCTGGCGCGACAAGCTAAGCCATAGTAGGAGGGTGGAAAATAAACAGATCGTGCTGATGCAGTCTAGATCGTGGATTGGGATTCCGAACGTACACTGTAATTGAGTTCAAGTCGTCTCGATCTTGGTTGCAAATCATTCTGTGTGAGCAAAGGGTTTCAGCGATGCGCGCCCAGCGCCCTTGGTTGCATTTCAATCTTAGAACAAGGAGAAACTCAAAGGAGAAACTCAAAGGAGCAAAGGTTGTACGATACGAGAAGAGGCAACATACATACCCCCAAGCAAGCTGTCGAACTCAAGCTGATGAAAAGAAGGAAATTTTTAGCCCTCCGCTCTCCCACTCGCTACACATAGCGAATCCCTCCAACTTACAGCATTGAGAGCTGGGATACCATGACGGTAGACCACCTGCTGATCCCTCTCGGTCTGATCCCAGTCAACCCAGTCAACCCTTTTTGACCAAGAAAGCGTTATTTCAGCATATTCGAAGCTTAGATCTGATTGACAAAGAAAATTCCCAGTCGATGCAATCTAGACGCGGACGCCCTCAAGACTCACCGAGTAGAATATCATTGAGCAGCTGTGAAGGACCGAATTCAACATCAATCCTTCCACGAATACATTTCCTCTACGTTCTCCCAATAGTGTATTTTTCCTACGCGCTATCAACACAAGCTCTCTGGCGTGCTTCACTACCTGGATGACTTGAACGCTTATTTGATATCCTAGACGAAAACTCTCCAGGGTCGATTTAATTGCCCGGGTTGCTGGGAATGTCTCTCCGCCCAAAATACTCTAATTCAGCATATTCGGAAACCTGAGAGACTTGGAAGACGGCCATGCTGATATTAAGGATCTGAATGATGAACAAAAGATCTGCAATCGCTGCAATCTTGCATCTCATGATGCAGAGGCCCTTAATTCTCACAAAGCAAGACTTCATGGGAGGAGCCGTGGCAATTAAGCTTAGCAAGTTCTCATGCTCCGGTTCACAAGGCGGCATCCTTGAACGGCAACATGACGAGGAGAAAGGCAAGTCGGAAATTCGAAAACCCAAGCACAAAAGCTCAGTTCTGGTCAATCTAGCAACCCAGATCTTGCTGTCGGGAACACTAGCCCTTTGAATCATATACTGCAATTGCAACCTTTGCTCCTGTCCACCAGGATTCTACTCATACATTCCAAGGAATGACAACTCAGCACGGCCTCGCAGGGCTCCCTTCGGCTTCCCGACGAATCAAACTTATGATTCATTTACCCTGCCTATTGATGATCCTTCGCTTGTGCTTTTCAACATCCAGCCATTGAATGATCTGCCCATTGAGGACCCTGCACTCATGGGGATCATCTCCGATGTCTACTCTTGATCTGCCGGTGGACGGTTATAACGCTTGCGATTGCTACCACTACTACGGTGTTTCATATGATCTGATAAGTAAGTATGCGATTGCTCTGCAGTTCTAGCTGTGGCTAAACCTTCTTCTTCTTCTTCTTAATTCCAAGTAACTTGCAAAAGCCCTCCCCCAGATAAAGGGTATCGTATTGTAATATTTCCATCAAGAATCAGGGCCTGATAAGGCCGTAATTGGTAAACAGCTTGGAGGTGAAGAGATGCCTCGGCCATTGAGCAGTCTAAAGAGCCCATTTTTCGAATCAAGTGTGTCCTTGAACGGCCCGTAGATCAGGATCAAGTCACGGCCTGGAATAAACACGGCCCTGTCTGCAAGGTGGGTTCTCTGTCATCAAGATATCTCGTGCATCCTTCTCAGCGTCATTCGCGCTCGATGAAGTCGTTCCTTGTTAAACTCGCTCGCGCAATATTAATGGGTAGTCGAGTAGAGACGCAGGCTCATATCCAGTCCATGATGAAACAGCTGATCTTGGATCTCCATCCGTGCATCGGAAGTCAGACCGTCCTCTGGTTGTTGCCACGGTACGATGTCGAAAAGGGGCCCCCTCCCGTTGACTCATTTGGCCTCTTGATCTCTCAGTCTCAGGGAAGGGGTTGGTGGAAAGGAAAAGGGTAGATGATCTCAGTGATTCAGTGATATTGAAATGCTAACTCAACATGCCCCGCCCAGCTGCTGGCTGTTATTCGAGCCTATAACTAGTGTATATATGGTTAAACCCTTCAGGGAATGCCTAAGCCTGCCAGCCCTAGCAGTGGCAGCATGACAGGTGATGCAAGAACAGTTCTTGTTGTTCAGAAACATCCACAGACGAGACTGATAGAGTGATAGCGTAATGATCAAGCACCGACCGGGAGATATGGTGCTAACGACCCTAAGATGACTGGCTTCCTGCCAGCCTGCGCCCAACACCTATACATATAAGCGGCCTACCGTTACAGATAGATCGCTGAGACATGATAATACAGTTGCAGAGATTATTCTATCAGTCGTCAGTACTTAGATAGATAGTCAGTCGATTTGCAGACATGAGTGGTTATTTCACACTCAGAAGACGTAGGATTTAGCTGATTCATTATCATGATACTGTCTCAAATGTTAGAATGAATCAGTCCGTGTTTTGAAGAGCTCAAGATTCATAGCACATATTCTGTTATGGGTTATAACAAGGAATATTTCGTAGAATTCAGAGCCTGCGGACAATTGAGAGATACCTGAATCAAAAAATATCAAAAAAAAAAATGAATCATAAGATTCATCCACCAAACTCATTAGCATTCCTTTCATACAACTAGACATTCTGACAAATAGAGCGCGTGCGCTCTTCCTGCATTCCGCCACCTAGCATGATCTGGAATCATGCCTGTATCCTTCTCTTATTAACATTCTAGATTCGAAAGCTGCTGGTCCTTCGAAAGAGAAGAGGAGGGGGAGGACAAGGAGAAGGCAAAAAGATCGCCAGTAAGAGAGAAATGATAGGAGAAAAGGAACACAAGGAGAAGAGCTGCATTACCAAAGCAAATTTTTCAGAGATGAAAAAAAAAAAAAAAATTTACATTCAGAAGAACCTAGACTAGAACAAATAAAATGAAAGATTTTCTGTGCTATTAATTTCTAACTTTGCCAGCTTCTGTTCACTAGCGACACAGCTTGACACAGAATGAACAGGTGAGAAAATAGCTTCAGATTACTAACAGAAAATCGTTTGGAAAGGGAAAAAATAACGAAAAAAAAAAAAAAAAAACAAGAAAAAACCCAATAAAGCTTTTGCAGATAAATTCATCATACCGAAGTATGTTGCATTTTGAACAAGGAGGGAAAAAATACGTCATTTCATTCGTATTAGGTCATGTAGAAATTGAAGGGGTGAAAGACATATATCCACACAGATATCCACAAAAGGTATAAGGCGAGAGTGTTAGACGGGCGGGAGGTAGGAAAGAAGGCATCAACGAAGAAAGAAAACATCTCCCCCCAATATTATGCTTATTAAATCCTCTATAAACTAAGAGCTTCGTCAGACACGCGATCTATGGGAAACTAGTCCTTTAGAAGGCGATTGATTTGTTGCGGTGTGACTCGACAATTTTTCGACGAACCGCTTCGCCGCCAGAATATGTTAGTTCTGTCCGCTTTCTGGTGGGGGTTGTGCTGTCGATATATTTACTGCGTCTGAAGACGCTGGCAGGACGGGAAGGCGAGTTTGCCGGTACAAACTCACGGTGTTGAGGCAGTCGGATGAGAGCTTGGTAGCGTGAGTGGTTGCGGCGGAATGCAGTCACGATGCCCCTGTCAAGGTGGTTCAAGAGGCGCTCTGCGCTATTGTTATTAACTGGAGGAGTGAACTCTGTTTTCATTGAGATGTTGTTCATGGTCAATGACGAGGAGCCCGCTACGACTGCGGAGGCGATGTCCTCATCGATGTCGAAATCTTTGTCCAGGTCTTCTTCATCGGAGGAGCCATTTCCGAAGTCGATAAAATCATTTACGTTCAGGACTCCTTCACTATCATCATCCTCGTCTTCCCCGTCGAAGCTAAGAAGACCATGGGAAGGATAGAATGCCTCAGGAGGACCAGTTATCTGGCCGACAGAATCGCTCCCCAGGGCAGTTATCATGAGGTTGGCATTAGAGGAAAGCATTGGGCTTAGGTTGTTGGGATGCATTGGCGATAGCACGGCGTCGGTGTCACTGTCATCAGCAAGGGTGGCGGCGGCAGGTCGTGGACTGTTGCTGGCGGTGTTGCACAAGCTTTGGGTAGCTGACTCAAGCCAGTCGTGTCTAGAAGTTGAATAGGGGGGAATGAGGATTAATTGAGCGCCGTTAGGGGCAACGACGGCAACTGGCTTATGGGGATCAGCAACGAAAGTGCCCCTTAAAGGTCCACGCCGTCGTAATGGTTGTGAGCGCTGGGTAGATGCTTCTACGAAAGGTGGCAATGATGCGCTCGAGTCGCGACGTAAGATAGATCGAGGATGAGTGATAGTTGCTGGGGGAGGTAAATCCTCGTCTGTTGTCTCACCACAATCCGCTGGAAATCAGGGTTAGCAAGCTAAAGAGCAGTTTGTCGTAGAAAATGCTTACATTCATAACCACTGGAGCTTGCAACGGAGGATTCTGTCTCCACGTGATAGATATTGCCTGGGAGATCATAGAAATCCTGTGAAACCTGCAGGTCGCTGGAAATTGGGCGACGGACTGGTTCAGAATCATTCTCGATCATTCTTCGTAGGTCTGGGTCAAGGGCATCTTGTTGCAGGAAATCAGACATAAGCTCATCATCGGTGGTTTTATCAGAGTCTGTTGAATCATCCGATTCGGCGAAGTGAACATGTCGCACAGGTTCATCCACAGTGGTGCTTGCCAAGGCATGATCTTCGACAGCGTCAATATTGCTCGATTGCAAGAATAGCTGGTCGTCCTCAAAGAACGAACCAGTAGAGTAAAGAGGACGGTTTTCAATGTCATCGAATCCTAACCATTCATCTGGAACTCCAGATGCAATTGCAGAGGTAACAGTCTTCTCCAAGTCACGCTCGTACTCCGAATCCAAAATCAACTCTTCTTCCATCAGCTCAATCTCCTGTTCTTCATCATCTGCATCGCTAACATCATTTACAGCTTCATATCCGTCATCCGAATCCAAGTCTATTGACTTGACCGAACTGAGAGCACTGGCGGAACTAGCAGAGCTGTTTTCAGCGCAGCTCCCATAACCAGAATGTCGAAGTTTAACACGTTTTCGGTCTTTAAGGAGTGACAAGCCACCCCGACGCCCCGTCTTACGGTTTCTCCCTGGCTTCCGGCCATAAGACGGGGCAAAAACATCGGATTGTTCACTATCCTCATCAATGACATCTTCATTATCATCGTCATCGTCGTCATCATCATCATTATTATTATCGACATCGCTGTCGGAAAAAGGACCTTCACTTAGAGCAGAAGACGGCTTTCGTTTTTTGTGGTTTCCGTGGCCAGAATTGACGAATTTGCGTTTATCGAGGCGGGGAGTAGACGGCTTCTTCACGATTCTGGGACCAAGAACTGTCGAGATGGACGCACTTGAATCGCTATCGCCGAGGGAGGGAGCGCTGCGGTTTCCCACAATGCGCGATTTCCTTCCAGGCGAACGCCTCGATTTTGCAGCCTTCGAAGGAGACATACCACTGGATAGAGACCCAATTGAGTCTGAAAATTGGCCGCGTTCCAGGAAAAGGGTAGATTACTTCGAGTAATCAGAAGAGAAGCGGTTTATTAATGGAAAATTAGGTTGAGAACTTGGTGGATTAACTGAAGTGGATGGTAAAAATGGGCAAGTAACTTTCACCCCGACAAATCTAGTCTGTATATAGCATGTATTTGTAGGAGAGGAACACTGAGTAATAACAGCGGGCGGATTTTCCTATCTCGTGGGTAGAAGTGGTTGCAGTGAAGGCCACGGGAGTGAGTTGAGATAGAAGGAGAAAGAAAGGGAAAAAAATGGTAGTCAACTAAACACCTCCACCCTCGACGGACGTTGAAGCGTTTGCTCTGAGATGATACTGGGGGCAATTTCGACGTACGGAGTAACCGTCGAAAGAGGGTCAAAATATCGTCAAGTCGATTGAAATGTACTCGTTGAGCTTCCTGGACTGGGAGAGCAATGGCGGGCGGGGGGATGCCCATGGCCATGCCTCCCAGTGAGGGATTTAGAGCCCAACGACAGCCATTTGGCGTGATTCCTCGACGATATTTGTAGTAAGAGAAATTGCTGGTGCTCTTCTTTAAACTTAGGGTTTGCAATTCGTGATGTTGTTGGGGGAAGAAGTGGTTGCGGGAGGAGAGGAAGAAAAAATGCAGAACTGGGCCACCGGCGATCGGAACCGTAGTTACAATATTCCGGCTAGTGGGGGAAATCCGATCGTGGATTAACTCGGCAGCTGATTGGCTGGAAGCTCACCGCATCTTCGGGTTGGCGCTGCGCGACTGGCAACGAGTTGTCCCCCTCCACTCAATTTTGGGGGGGAGATACCTCTCGCAGGGATGTTGGCCTGCAAACGGAGTTCAGGAGGGGAAGGGACAGGACGGGGGCAACAGCCAGCGCACTTTTGCCCACATACTACGTACAGCGTTCCTGGTATCTTCCCGCTGACTCCTAAGAGTGAGTAACTACTAGTAGTATAATAAAAGCATAATATTCCAGTCATGGATACGATGAGTCAGGAAGTTGCAAACAGTCACTCTGCCAGGTTAGACCAAGTTGTCAATATCAACTTGAACTCAGCCTGCACCTTTGGATGCAAAGAGAGCGCCAAGGTATAGGCCCCTTTGCTAATACTTTGCATGCATGAAACTACTGCATCTGCCCTCTGCCTCAGACAACTCTGAAGGATACACATACATCGCCCGCCGGGCATGCACTCCATGACCGCAGATGGCAAAACATCACACGGGCTCTTCCCTTTGCAAATCAGAACCAACCCTGGAAGGTCATCTTCTTCCAGCGGCTCTCAGATCCGAAGGAGGACCAATCAGAGATAGCCAAAAAAAAAAAAAAAAAAAAAAAAAAAAAAGTTCTACTCTGAACCAACTAAAATTCCTACCCGTCGGAACCAATGAAAGTCAACCCAAACCACTGACCTCCAAGGTGATCTGTACTTTGTACCTTGACAGCGACCCAGCGAGGGAGTGGCTGACGGTCTCCGTGTCCACCGTTGGCGCTAGCTCAAGCAAGCGTCTCCAGGCCGGAATGAGAGCATTAGGAGGGGTCAAGCACACAAAGATTCGTGTTGGAAAACCTCCCTATCATTCGATCTAAGAGCGCATCAAAAGATGGAGTAAAGAACGAAAGAACAACTGGGGTCTACTATGTCATTCTCTTTTGTCTTCCTTCTCTACTTTAATTTAATATCCCCACCCAATTTTAACTAGATGTTGTATCATCTTCATTAGCCTAAAATCCCGTAAGGTTACATCTCGGGCGTCACGGGAATGCCAGATCGCATCCATGGATCCTGTTTTATCACGGCCAATACTCAGAATGAAGAAGTGGGATCAGCTGGTTCAAATCTCAAGTTTTATCAGAGGAAGCAAATATTCGGTAGACAATAGTAGGATCGAGAAAAATGGGTGCTCATGTATTATATATGCATGATATTTGGTATTCGTAAAAGTCATTACATAAAATAAGTTAAAAAAAAAAAGAGGACGTAGAAGGAAGGAAATAAAAGAATGAAACTCAATGTCAGGAATAAGAAGCTTTCCTGGTGAATTAACCAAGATACAACAGAAAAATTAACCCAAGAAGGGAACAATGAGAATTGTCCGAAATCGGATAAAGCTTGCAGTTCCAGACCGCCTTTAACAACACCTGCTTACTGACTCTTCACCCCGCCGTTCAACTCGAACCGTTTCGCCCATGGAAAACAAAGTTCCTGAACACATGTCCCTGTAAACCAGCAGTCAGCTATCCCACTTCATCTGTATTTTTTCTCTCTATTCTTTCTCCCCTCCCCTCCCCTCCTGGTGTCCGTCCCACTCTCCGATCCACAACGTAGCAGGTCTGGGGAAGAAGCGACGAAGAGAAGTTCACCTTCTGCCTCCCCACCCTCGACGTGTCCATCTCATCAATTAAAAATTAGCGAATCAGAGCCCTTGTTAGGCAAAGCTAGCTAAACATCCCCAGCGAACATGTTGGTTCTATGTCCCCGAATATGGTTCGACCACTTTCAGACGACGTGTCTAGTTCTCGGCAGTTGATGCGGGCGACGATGATGCATTGTCAATGGTACTGCTCGTCGTTGTCGTTGCGGTTGCCGCTGTTGGTTGCAGGAAGGCAGCTTGCCGTGCATCATCCTGCGTTTCCCTCACTCCAGCCCTGTCTTGCCCTTGCCTAGTTTCGCCTGTGGCTGCAACAGTCGTGGTCTGTGCTTTCGATGCGCTGTTATCACTGCCACTATTTGTATTGCTACTATTATTATTTTCATTGATGATCGTGGCATCTTCCGTTTTGGACTTTTCTTTTTCGAGACGCACTTCACGGCCACGTTTGTGACAGTACCAGAGGACGAAAAGGAGAACTATCAATAGTCAATATAAATAAGAAATGGAAGAAACGAAAGGAAGAAAATAAAGAAAGGGAGGGGAAGGGAGGGGGGGGGGGGGGAATAAAAATATAATGGAGGCCATCCTTACTAAATAATGCCAGCGACATCAGCACATTCATACCCATAAGCGCTGGGAATCGTGCTTGTAGGAAGCTAACAATAGATCGCAACATACCGGCAATCGCTGCCGGCTTCCCCACTAGCTCTTTCAAGCTGGGAATTCTCAACCCCATCTTCTTTGCCTTTTCCGCTGTCTTCGTAGCTTCCTCCAGGCTGATTCCACTCTTGCCGGCCTTCTCAGCGGCCATCGCCAGGAATTCGGGTGCAAATTTCTCGGTTACTTTATCCGGCAGCTGCTCGATGAGTTTCTGGAGGAAGCCTGGTAGATGGTTGAAGGACTTTTGTAACTGACCATCCTCGTTCGTTAGTAGCGATTCCAGATCGTGGTATGCCGTCGGTACGCCGTTGATGAGGTCTTTGAGAATGAGATTGAACTTCTTTAGGATACTCTGCGTATCGTCGCTGATTGAAAATACACGGTTATTCACCGCTGAGAGATTTAGGCGCTCGAGTACTTGAGTCAGGTCGTCCTCCTCCCCTTTTGCTTCATCCAGATTCAACCCTCCTATCTTTGTATGAGAAGGCTTGAGGTTCTCTGCAATGCTAGATAGTCCTGCCGCGGTATTTTCCTAATATTAGAAAAGAAAAAAACGATGGTGTAACAACGATTAGCCCAGCTCTCTAGTTATTTGGCAGCGCAAAAGAAAAAAAAACATGTATCAGATGCCCTCACTTTCTTCCTCTTATCCATATTCTGCGCTACCCAGCCCCACGGACTCATCTTTTTCCCCTTCGGACTTCCGGTTTTCTCTCCCTTCTCCTTGCTTTTCCCCTTCAACGTTCTGCTCAGGCTCCTTTGCACACCCTTCTGCTCAACTTCTGGGGAGCTAGTCCTAGTACTGTCTTCAGTGTGCTCTGCGCCATCCATGAGCGCCATCTGAGGATCTCGCCCCACCTCCTCGGGGTGGGAGGTCACTCGTTGCAAAAAGGCCTCGTCATCGGAAGTCAGGACGGGTTCTGGTGTGTGGTCTCTGGTCGACTTGGAAATGTGAGCCTTCGTCTTAATGTAATTTATATACTGCGCTGCCATCGCGTGGCCCGAAATGAGGAGCTGGAGGTAATATCAGAGACTCTGGCGATATGTGGTGGACCGATGACTTAAAGAATAGAATGATTCTGCCTGAAGCTCAACCTTAACCAGCTCTTCGCGCTGGGCGGGGTAGAAGAACACAAGCTTATGCGGTGCAAGATAAATGCTGGTAAGCTCTAAATAGTGATAAAAAGAAGAGTGTCAAAAACACCAAAAATTTAAGGCCCGCTAAATACTGAAGGGATATGATAGTGATCAAAGGATAGGGATGGGAGATGATGAATCTGCACGAGGTAACTAAATCGTCCAGGGGCGGCTCAAACTCACGTTCCTTTCTCCTTTTTGAAACGTCATAGGCCAGTTCGCAGGGGGGCACGTGCGTAGCTCGGGATAAGCTTTGTCACCCCCGCTACCAAAATCAAGATTTCTCGCAGACGAAGGCCTTTTTCTTCTGACAATAACGGGGCTAGCCGTGGCATTGGCAACAGCAAATATATATCTATCTTTGGTTTCAAACTTGACGCTTCATTATCTTGACCCACAGCTTAATGGGGCGGTATTATATTTTCCTAAATGTCCTTCTTTTCTGAAGAATAGTAAACACGCACTCAACACACACTACACAAAGCTTATGCTAGGTTACAGCTTATCGTCGATTAGGTTTAGTTAGTTCATCAGGCACAGCAATAAAGTCGATCACATGACGTATTCATAGACCATCAACCTTAATCCCCGACTTGGTACCTCGCAGTATTATTTCCAAAACTAATATATTGACGATAACGTGTTTGATTGACATGTCACTGACAGGGGTGCTATTTCAAAGTTTCTAAATAGGTTTCGTTTTTTGTGAGAGGCTAAGAACAGTGGTAGTGAATGCCCCCCATTAGTTGAGCACTAACCAAGTTCGAAGCCGCAAGAAGGAGCGGTGATTACATGGCTTAGAAGCATCATCTCCATAAAGAATTCATCTTTTCCGCGGTTGACTTGTGTCTGTGGATGCTCTATCTCTTATCGTTTGAGAAATGGGCTCGTGGCCTCGCAATATGTCTTGGCTCCGAAATTGAAACTGAAGTCGGGCAAAAGATGTCTAAACAGGGTTTCTGTATTAGAGAGAGAACTACCAAATGGAGCGAGGCAGGCTAGGCCGTTTGAGAGTTGCACAAGTTACGGATGATGTGCGCAATAGTTCGCATAGGTTTCTCTTAAAAACAATGCATGAGGATAGGAGCCAGCACCTAGAGTAGTAGTTAAAATAACCAAGCAGCGAATAAAATCAGCAGCGTGGTTATTGTGGGCGAATCGGGTATTTCAGTGTTCTTTCAAATGAGCTGTGCATGCGAAGAATCTATCTGACTACGGAGTAGGCAGTTGCAAAAAGGCAGGCGACAAAGCATGCCTGTGCATCATGGAATTGGGGCATATGTAGAATGAGGCGACAAAACCCGACGACCGATTGAACATGAGGGTTGGTAAATTAACTCGGCTTACAAAAATCCAAAATGGGCAAAGTAGGATGATGGCAGTGTTCCTGGGCCCAAACCACCCTCAACCACTTTTTTCTGCCAGGTGGTGATACAGGTGCGGCTTCTGCAGGTCTGTAAATTTGTGGTCAGATTATGCTTCGGCCACGCATTCAGATTGATGGGTCCGGGTCGAGTCAAATCAACTCCCGAGCCACACAGATCCATGGAAGGCGAACAAATCCCTGAGTCGAGCCACGCCAAGCAGATGCTAAGATGATTTGCCAATATCAAGATGCGCAATGGGCACAAGTCCCGACAGGATGCAACTGGCTAGAGGCCCAGTGGAGGGATGCTCGCTTTCATGGTGCCATGACCGCTGCCAACCTGCCAGTGGCTGCCTTGCCCTAACTGTGGAACACCGCCTCAGCCTAAGATTAGCGCTGCCTGGGGTATCACATGACCCGCCGCCAGCATATCAACGTCGTCGCTGTCACTCCCTCCTCCTTCCTCCTTCCTCTCTCCTCCTCACGCTTCTCAGAGCTGACCGTTTGTCGCCCGCACATTGGTTTCAATTCGGAATCTTGTGCGAAAAGCTCCTTCAGGAACGCATTCTTTCCTGTCATCATTTCTCCTTCGGGGGTTAGGTGGCCAGAGGACTGATTTCTTGAGGAGGCTTCCGAGGCTCCCATGCTACGTGCGTGATCAAGCAGCGTCGTCTTCAATCCTGGCTCAAAGCCATCACACTCATTATATAAACCCCCGTGTTCTTCCGCCGCTCTTTATTGTCCTTTGTTCTTTCGTTTGATTTTCGACTTCGACGGTAAAATGTTCAAACGCTCTTTTACCTCAAGGGATCGCGCGGGCAAGGCTGTCAAGCCGACCAAGAAGATCTATCGCGAGCGTACGAAGGTCAAATTGCAGGAAAAGCTGGACAGTCCGCCAGTTGGAAGGTTGGTGAATCATCGATCTCATCATCCTGAACTCTCTTTTCTATGGGTCTCCTTTCTAACTTTTGAGAAGCAAGATAACGAGCCCCATAATCACCATGATTGTTGGTCATGAACAGCGCCTTTTCGCTGCTCATGAGGATGTCCTGTCAATCTCCCCTTTCTTTGTTGCTGCCTTGAAAGACAAAGTTCTGGATGGTAGCGCGAAACAGGTGGACCTGCCTGACGAGTAAGTATTTCAACTTTGACTAAGATGCATGGCATCCAAATTCTTATTTCCTTCCAGAGAGCCGGAGATACTGTCCTGTATTCTCGAGTACCTCTACAAGGGTGACTATTACCCTCGTCTGCTACACAACAGGCGCCGTAACTCTTGGGCACTCGAGGATGCCCAGGACCCCCAAAACAAAGGAGGCCGCGGATCATGCGAATCGACAATTTTTCACTCTGGTGTTTGCGACTATCTCCTCCGAGATACTGCTGTGTATTGTGCTGCTGAGAAGTACGGCTTGGAGGATCTGAAGCACCTTGCTCTTCGGAAACAGGGCCTTCAGACTGGAATCCCTGTCGACGTGATCCTTCGATCAGCTCGGTATGCGTATGACCATACGCCAGACAACGAATCGCGGCTCCGCGCTCATTTTCTAGCCCTGATCATCAGAAGTCGTAAGACTTTTAAGAGGAGTGGAACCATGCAGATGGAGATGGAAAGTGGCGGCAAATTGTTTTTCGATCTTTTCGTAGCGATGTGCAATCACATCGATGACATTGTCGAGATCAGGTACGCCCCCTGCTCTTCTTACCTTGTCCACTAATCTATTCTTGTTTGCCACTTTTGCCAGTGGCTTATATCTTTGACACGGCCCACAGTAACAACCGATCTCCCAAAGTCATCTAAAGATGAAATTGCACTGAGTTTTTGCGGAACAGATCGAACGCCTCGGAGTTATCAAGTCGGATCTCAGGGAGCATCTAAACCAGAATGTGTAGGATTAATGCCGAGAAAGGTTCCGAGGTTGTTTTTTCTTTCACTCAGATGAAAAACTTCCTTTCTTTTCGAGGTTGGCCGCAAATTTGGTTTAGAAGAAAAACCCCCTCTACTCTTTTTTTAATATGTCCCCCTAATAACGTATACCAGGAATTTGCCTTCACATCTTAACTAATCCTCCGGAAGGAAAAACATTTTACAGCCAAGTCTGCGGCGTCTTTCGCGACGATTTCCTTTTGCCATTTTGGTTTTATTAATGATTTTCTTATTACCCATCTACTTCATCTGTCTGCTTTGGGCATCCGCTATCAGCGCGCCTTTATGAGGAGGTGTTTGTTTTGTACGATACTTCCCGGCTGCGATGAACCTCGCATGATCAGGTTTATATAAGAATTTGAGAGATTCGGCCACCTCACACTTTCCTTTTTATTATGTTTCTCTGATATCGTCGTAAACACTTGTAAATCCTCGAGTCATATCTATCTAAGATACGTGTCTCTGACCTGGAATATTTTCCTTCTATGAAGGATTCCTTCACCTAGCAACCTTCTTGATTCGCCTACTGCTGTTTCGGTCTCATTGTTTTGCAATTGAAACTGGCCCGCTCAATTCAATGTGTTATCCATTGAATTTCCTCTTTAATTAACCCCTCTCTACCGCAACAACACTTCGGAAGCACCCACGCACCGTTCTCTGAACTGCAAGCTTCACATGTTACTATTCTAGCAACTAAGATTTTCTCTCCTTTTACCCATAAATCTTATCCTCGTCCCCATTGCTACTGCTTTGTCCGCTATCCAGTTACCACACCCTCAGAAAGAATAAACATAAGTTTAAATATGAATAAGCTCTGGCACTTCTATCCCAAAATCCACCCCGTCAGGCCGCTGAAGCCCGGAGAATGCTTTCTCATCCAATATCGTGATAAAGGACAAAAAGAACTCTGGATTGGAGTCATCTGTTCCAATTTGATGATACCTGACGAGGCCTGGCGCCATTGTCCAGTTGGTTCGCCCCCGAGGGCCGGCCAATGGACAACTCAGCTTGATCGTCGTCATTACCCTATCTATCTCCCGAAGAAAGGGAGGATGTAGGTATTTCAGAGGGTGTTTGTGCGAGAGTAATAACTACTAACAATATTGTATTTAGCATATGGGCGCACTTTATTCATCTGTTCGAAATCCACCGCTCAAGATACGACGAGTTCGAGTCTTGCCCCGATTTCTCGGTTTTTTGCGAGGTTCTGAATTTGGCATTGAAGGGACGGGATGTTGTGTTTTGGGAACGGATGGCTCTTGGGGAGTTTAAAGAACGCAAAGAGATGATCCGTCTTACTACTGCAGGCATGCTACAATCTCGCTCAACTACTACCACCACTCTCGCCAAGACGACTCAACAGGTTCGCTCGAGCCCCACTCAAGATGGGTGTAGTCTATCAGGGGAAAGCATCGAAGAACCTGTAGCTCAAGTTGGCCAAGCCACCCAGCTCATGAAAACTGCAGATTCCCAGAGGATTCGCTGGTATATATTGGCATTTATTTACTAATTCCACCTTTCTTGATCTGGATATCTGCAATGCGTGACTAACAACACAACAGCAAGGAACCTCTCCTGGGCAGAGTGGATGTATACATTGGCGTAGGAACGAGTCGCAAAATCTACAACATCCCACGTCATTGCGTAGCCAAATCCGGCCTTCTGGAGAGCAGCCTCATGAGAAAGAACCAAACCACCACTGCCAGCGATCCGATTCTTGACAACACCTCCCACGCCGATTTTGCAGTGCTACTCTCCTTTCTGGAGATTGGTGAATATACCCCGCAGCTCATCACTTCACGGAAAAGCCACCACCATCTTGAGAACAAGCCTTCCACTTCCCGTAATCGCGGCATAACCTTCTATCTTGAAGGTCTTGTCACCCACGAAGAACATGAAAATGAAGTTCTGCGCTGCGGCTACATCTATACGCTGGCGCAGACATTCGAGATACCTGCCTTGCAAGCACTCGTCCTACGGAAACTCCGTCTTGGATTCCCCGTTATCAGCTACAAGACAATGCTAACAATGATTGCATATGTTTTTCCACGTCTGGACACCAATCACATCACGAATGCAAACAACCCCAATGGGACGGGAAGCCCACCTGCGGCTCCGCCTGGTACACTGGCAGAACACTATGCGAAGGAAGAAGAGCCATTGAGGGCGTACTTGGTTGAGTGGTTGGTTGTAAATATGGTAGCTGCGTCGAGGGTAGAGGGGCGCTTGTACTGGGACACGGTCAGCAGGTTTGAAGGGTTGAAAAAGACTGTTATGATTAGAGCGGCTGAAATGGAGATTGAGGAGCCGGGGAAATGCGCGGCGGGGCATTTTCAGGCTCCTCTAGGGAGCATGATGGCGTGAGTATTAATATGAAGCTAGAGTTTGTAGAGGAAACGGGAACCGGATGAACAATTTGATGAGCTAATAATAAATCTTGAAGTTAACTAGTTATGAGTGATGTGTCTGACAAAGAGACGTATGATGAAAGGTTGATAGGCGTGTATCTGGAGATGTTAGAGGTTTTTTCTTGCTATTTTTCATTTATGGAAGCTTAGATAGGTGGATACAACCTGCGATTTTCTCGGATGTTTATTGGCGGTGCGCACGACGATCGAAGTCTAATTTAGATCCAATCAGCTTTGAGCTGGTGAGTGAGATCTGTCAATTCCCCACAACATTAACACATTGAACATTGAGCAGTACACTGGCTGTGAACAACCACAGTATATTTCGCTTTTTACTGGAATATCATCACACCTTTACAAAGCCATGCTGAACTGATTTCGACCCTCCCCCGCGAAGTACCTCCATTACGACCTCTGCTGAAATACAATTCCTTTTGCACCGCAACCGTAACCACTGCCACCACCGCTACCATGCTCTCCTCCCTATCCCCTTACATGGCGAACCCGCGAAATACCCTTTCGCAAGTTCTCAACTTCGGACTCGTCCTCTCCTCCGCCTTCATGGTCTGGAAGGCCCTATCAGTCATCACCAACTCGGCATCCCCCGTCGTCGTAGTTCTGTCAGGCAGTATGGAGCCAGCGTTCCAGCGCGGGGATCTGCTGTTTCTGTGGAATCGGAGTCCGCGCGTCGATGTTGGGGAGATTGTGGTGTATAACGTGCAAGGCAAGGATATTCCGATTGTGCATCGGGTTATGAGGGTGTTTCCGGATGTTCCAACTACCGGGGGAGAGGACGTGGAAGGTGTTGAGTAAGTTGTATTTCCCAAGTTATTTTCCTCCAGCTTCTCTTCTTCTTCTTTAAATTGGGAACGGTTGGGTTCTTTATGCTAATGCATTTACTCTATATTGTCTTTGCAGGGCGTCGCAAAAACTTCTCACAAAAGGCGATAACAACCTATCAGACGACACTGAATTGTATGCTCCGGGCCAGGAATTTCTAGACCGAAAAACGGATCTCATGGGAAGTGTCAGAGGCTACGTGCCAGCTATTGGCTATGTTACGATTATGCTCTCCGAGCATCCCTGGCTGAAGAGCGTTTTATTGGGATTCATGGGATTGATGGTTATGTTACAACGGGAATAAAATTTTTCGTGGAATACGTGATATATATTTCTCGTTCCCTTGTATTGCTAGCTACCCCGTTAATCCTTAAAAAGAGCAGTTTTTTATTTCTTCGCTTCTTTTGGGTATTCAAGAAAGGACGGAGTTGGGCTTTGTTTGGGTTTCTCTTTAGTGAATTAGGCTCCTAGTCCACCCCGTGTCTAGGAAGCTCATTTATTTCCTTCTGCTATTGTGTTATTTCCTTACATTCAGATATGTTGGGACCCGGAGGACATATCCATCATTGCTAGTGACTACTTAAACATTCAAAAACGCATAATAGCTCAGCATGGTTCGGGCAAACCCGAAAGTTGGTTTCAATTTTCGGCCAGTGTTTTTGAAAACTTTGAGCGTAGTTCGGAAATTTAAACCCCAGCAACGTAAAAATGAAGTCTCCGTACGTAGTCTCTACAGTCGAGGCGGCCTTTCCATTGGTGTTCATGTATCTATATTTTAGGCCTTAACTGGCTCTAATCCTGGCCTAATCCTCTTCCCTAGCACTAAATTTGAAAGTGGATATACGGCTTAAATATGGCTTGCGGATAGACTGTTCTTGTAATCATAAATATATTGTACAGTAATCATATGTTGTGACCAAACTAAGCTCCCTCAAATACAAAATACAAAAATGCGCATAGCAAGCGAGGCATGCTTGTATGAAATAATTCGATAAGGAAGGGCAGTCCAGCTACGATATCCGATACCCAGGAGTCCAGTTACTAATACCATTGCAATGCCTTCAACAGTCATACTTATTATAATAACAATACTAGTAGTGTAATTACGCGGTTCATGGCTAAAGCAAGATGTAATTTCACACCATAGGTCCAATACAATCATGTCGTCGTTGCTTGAGAGCAAAACCTTCCAGCACTGTCAAGGAAAGCAGTGAGGGGGTGACCCAAAATGAGATGTATTCCATATCTGTTCTTCATCAATCCGAGAGCTATCAACATTTGTCTGAAGTGCAAACAGAAGTGCAGGTAGATTTTCCTGATCCCCTGTGGAATATATATATATTGTTCTAGCAGAAATAAAGTGATATAAAGCGTGGACTGATATTACATATAAGCGGATTCAACAGTGGATTGAGTATAAAAGTCATGCCATAAGCGTCACCACGCTCTGGCATTCGCTCAGAAGTTAACTATCTACGTATAAGGAGGGTAATGTGCTGTAGAAACGGACAACTGCTATCTATCATACGGGAGGCGCTCAGGGCTTGCTTGTGCCTGTTCCTCATTACAATTTTCTGTAACTCATTACTTGCTATTTTTAGCTGGCGCTTTTCACTGCCTATTATTACTAGTAGCCGCTTCGCTCTATTCCGTACATATACAGAAAAGAGAACTATAATTTCTAGCAAGTGTGAGACCCTTAAAATAACGATAGACAGAGAACAGTCACCAGGGTCTATATGTATAACCAAAGTTCAACAAGAGGTGCCTGCTCATAGATAGTACTGAACCGTTCCTTCTCTGGGAGGTTGACAAAAGTAGACGAGGTGAGTTATCCAAATTGCACCCCCAGGCCTACTACTTTGATTTGACCAATGACTGATCCTGCGTAGGGATAACCGAGAAAGTATTACACTAAAAGTGGGTCGCGATAGTTCTGCAGGACCCGCTAAGTGCTTTTGTTAGGTTGGAGGTGAGAAGGCAACAACAAGCTCAAAATCAGCATATCGCTCACTCTCCATATCATCCCCCAGAACAATTCATGCTTCCTGACTCCAATACTTATATAGCATATACAAATAGGGGACTTTGCATAATACAGGCGGAAATGGGAAGCCAAAAGCGTATCGCCAAGGTATATCACTGCTCATCTCTAAGCCAACCCCTCCCCCACATTTTGCGAACGAAAGAAGTTAAACATAGGTGTCGACGGGTCCAAATCGCCCAATATAGGAGTTCAATGAGCTAATGGAGTCGCCCCCGACGGGCATATCCGTCACTCTCGCAAATGGCTCAGACCTTTATAACTGGAAAGTCCACATGCAGGGCCCTGAATCGTCACCATACAATGTATGCATTCCGCCCAAACAGTTCACCCAAGAAAGCAGAAGATTCCAGACCAAGCATATCGTTCCACACACACATCCCCTGTTATCTACCCAGGCTCACAACAGCGCACACCCCTCTCTACTCAATAGGGCGGCAAATTCATCATCAACCTCTCCCTCCCGAGCGATTATCCTTTCAAGCCGCCGACGGTCTCCTTTGACACAAAAATCTACCACCCAAACGTCACCAACGATGACAAGGGAAGTATGTGTCTTGGTATGCTTAAGTCCGACGAGTGGAAGCCCTCATCTAGGATCGCTGCTGTGCTGGAATTTGCGAGGCAGCTGCTTGTCGAGCCGATGCCGGATGACGCAGTCGAGGGCCGCATTGCAGAGCAGTACCGCGATGATCGGAAGAGGTTCGATGAGATTGCAAGAGACTGGACGAGGAAGTATGCCTCGGGGAAGTAGAATTGAGGGATAGAATCTTTTAGATACAGAGACAAAGGGAGCGGTGGGTAGGTTCCTGATTGCGTGCTTCCGGTCGGAGATGGGGGAGGGATCGGGCAGGTTGGATTGTTTTTACTATTATTTCCATACTATCTGCTTTCAGCTTTCTTTTCCTTGCATTGCCGTTTGGTTCTGATGCCTTTCTTGTGGGTTGGAGGTGAGCGTCATGGTTCTTGTTCTTCGGCTTCCTGTTCAACTCCTCCAATACTTTCTGTGGGCTCGTTAGGGATGCAATTTTTATTTTTATTTTTATTTTTTTTCGTTCTACATGTTGGGTTTCTTCGGCATATTCATGTTCATCGTCTCCAGCTTTGATGGGAGGAAAATTTTGTGTTTTTGGAATTGCATTCTGGTACCCACGTTGTCAAGCGTTTGTTTTCCATTCTTTCATTCTTCGCCAGTTTACCGTGCAGATGGATACGTTAGAATAAGAGAGGGGGTGGGTTTAGTAAATATACCGTCCTGATAGATACAGAAACCACGATCAAAGCATGTTATTAGCATCTGAATTCTGTCAACTACACAGTCGTGCCAAATGTTCTTGTTGATTAACTTGCACTTGCATAGCTAGTAGTGTTAGGATTCAAGGTTGAACAGGCATCAAGTAAATTAAAACTTCGGGCATTATTTTGCTCTTCTTAGTGAAACATGTGCAGTGCAATGTAGAGTGTGACGAAGGACAGTCCGTTGCTTGTAACATAATTAGTCGCCATTTCAAAGTTGCTGAGGGGATCCAGGATCACTAAAGGTGAGGTAGGATGGCTATCCAGCTCTCCAAGCAAAGCGCCATGCAAAGAGGTCTAATACGAAGAAGAAATTCTGTTGTATGTAACATTTGTTCCCCGTTGAGCAATGCAAATTACAGTGTGGATTTGTTCCACAAAGTATACTTGAAACGCGAACTGTGAAATCTATGAGGCTGCATGGAAGAGGTCCTTAGCTCAACATTACGAGGGTAGGATTTGAAGTCTGCACCACCTGAAAAATACCAAACGTTCTAGTCATGGTCGTTCGCACCTCTCTTCGGTTCGTATTACGGCCGTTCTTATTCTGTTATCCGATACCATATCATTTCCCTGCTGCTCGTTGCGCTTCTATCTCAGAACGTCGCCATGCGCCTGCGATAACCATGAGCTCACATCTCGTTCGAAACGGCTCAACTGTGACCCGGAGTCAACACCAACTGCTGCCCCACGACGTGAAATTAGAAGAAGAGGAGCTCCCAGATTATAATTCCGAAGATTTCTACCCAGTCAGACTGGGAGATGTGTTCAAATCTAGATATCAAGTCATCGCGAAGCTAGGGTTTGGAGTGGGCTCGAGTGTATGGCTCTGCCGGGACTTGAAGTGAGAAATGACTGGTGATTACAACATCTAGTTAGCCCCTCGAGTTCAGGTATCTGATGTCCTTTAGGTTCGGTGACTACCTAACTCTGAAAGTCTGCACCTGCAGACAGGAAGCTGGTGTCGCTGCCCAGTCTACCAATGAAGTGGCTGTAGCGAGACATATTCGAGCCGCTGATGTTGAACATCCCGGTGAAAGATACCTCCGACTCATAATCAGAGAGTTCACCATCTATGGGCCTGGGGGGGAACACAGATGCCTACTCTATACGCCTCAGGGGATGACTTATACTGAGTTCCGCAATTCACAGCCAGATCGCATGCTGGATAAGGCACTGCTCCAGCAGACTTACCAGTTAATCCTGATTGGTCTAGATCTTCTGCACCAATTGAGCGTGGTACATACAGGTATGATTCTGTGTCACCTCTGGAACAGGTTAATTCAGTATTCCGTGTGTCTGCAAACGACTGCGCTAATAGTTTTGTTCTCATTTTAGATATCTCGCCTAACAATATCCTTTTAGGTGCCCGGAGCCCCTCTGTGTTTTCCAAAATCGAGCAATCTGAGTTAGAGCATCCTAGCGCTCGCAAAGTCCTTCGGGACCGGACCATCTATCGGTCCCATTCTATGCCCATAACCGATGGCACGCCAGTTCTTTGTGACTTTGGAGGGGCTAGGATTGGCGAAAGGAAGCATCTGGGCGATGTGATGCCTGACTTCTATCGTGCACCGGAGGTGATACTAGGGATGGAATGGGACTACAAGATTGACATCTGGTCAATTGGAGTCATGGTAAGTTAACCACAGAAATAAGTTATTACCTGCAAAATATGCCCAACATCCTTTCATACCAAGAGCCAGTACATACCTGCTCACAATGTGGCAGGTATGGGATTTATTTGAAGGCGGTCGCCTTTTTTATGCCCTTAAAAACCGCATTCTGGATGATGAGCAACATCTTGCTGAGATGGTTGCCCTCATGGGGCCTCCCCCACAGAGCTTCCTTCAACGGAGTGAGAAATGCCGCAAGTACTGGGATGATGAAGGTTAGCATCTATTTGTACCATCTGTCCATCTCCTGAAAGCGATTTAAAACTGAAATTATCTTAGGACAGTGGATTGCGGCAACGCCCATTCCCGAGCAGTCGCTTGACACGAGAGAGTGGCGTCTGGAAGGTGAGGACCACAGGCTGTTGTTGGATTTTCTCAGCAAAATATTCAGGTGGCTCCCTGAAGAACGTGCTTCAGCACAGGAGTTAACATCCCATCCATTCCTGATGCAGCCGAGAAGTACAAAGACATCCTGAAACCGAATACTGTCAAAGTTGCTATGAAGTAGGCATGTCAGCAAAGCAGTCATTACATCTCCCTTATATACCTGAGCATGGAGGATGAGCATCCAAGCCAAAATGATGCTGCAACACACTATTCCACATTCAAACCTGACAAGGCTGACAATGTTATTGCATCAAAACATTGCTACCAGCAACATACAAAAGCCGACATATGCATTTATGGCATTCAAATAGCATTGATGGAATCTTATCTCATGTTCTGTCTCTGTTATTGTTAGAGTTATGTGTTTCTTGCCGTCTATTATATGTTGGGGGATCTGTTTTCATGTTGTCCTTTTGTGTCGGGAGAGCTGTGACATCATTGAGTGTTGATCCGACTAGACGCTAGAGTCAAAACAGCAAAGCTTATCGACTATTTTCTGTGAGACGGTTTCGACAAATTTCCATTTTTTTGAAGCAAATATGTCGCGTTTATTGACGGTGTTCTCGAATATTCAGCTGATCAAGTTTATGAGGGATTTTGCCTATAAATATGATCATGTTAGCCATTACTACGGCTACCTCAGACACGTGCCACTCAATCTATTATTGTGTTGTTCTCACTTAGCTAGTTAATATACACAACAACATTATTCTTCTACAGATTATGAAGCTTCTTGTAAGCAACAGAACCACTGCAATAATATATCAACTATATATTTATATATTATTAATATCGATATATATCACCAATATATCATCATCGACATTCATCACTAGATATCATTGATATATCACCATCAACATATATCACCATCACTAGATAATGATATCATTGGTAGAGATCAATCATTCAAGCAGGTGAGTAGATAAATAGGCAGGTAGACAGCCAGGTAGTCATCTAGTAAGCCAGCATTGCCAGATAGGTGGGCAGCTAGATGATGATGTTTATTCTTATAGAGATTGGTTGGATATTGAGCAGCCATGTTGGTTGGAAGGTAGGGAGGTAGATAGGTAGCTAGCTATCTAGCTAGCATTCCAAATTCTATCAGCAGTCGATCTGATATCGCGCAGGTAGGTAGGCAGATAGATAGGCAGATAGATAGATAGACAGCTATCTAGCATTCTATATTTCATCAGCAATCAATTGAATATCATGCAGTGAGATGGGCAGGTAGGTGGGTAGCTAGCATGCTTGATTCTATCAGCAATCAATCAGATATCACGCAGGTAGATAGGTTGCGTTTCTCTAATCAGTGTTCTTAATCACACTATATCATGTGATTTAGTGTCTCGACCTAGATGGTTGACAAAGCTGGGTATCCAAACACAACTCACATCAGATGCGGGTCGGACGATCACCAGTTTGCGGAATGCACCTAGGGAGGTAAATTTTTCGTCCCCTGTCCTCTCCAGTGGCTGCATTTTCGTCTCTCAACCGGCCTGGGTCAAGTTTTGACCAATCTTCCTTGAAGTAGCACGTATCAATTAACCCGGGGAAGGTGTTTTGTGAGCGTCCTCTTTCAAAGCAGAAGAGAAAATTCAAGCGCACAACTGGCTTGCTTATTTTGTTTTATTTATTTCATAGGTATGAGCGGTGCATAAATTGTGCTGATTATTGATGCAGGAATCCGGTTTTCGCGGTCTTTGCTTTCGCTATGTTGCCATCACACAGCAACAGATTTCTGCGTGGTTTTCCACTGGTTGGAGAGAAAATGACCGCTCTCAAAGGCATCCATGACATCCCACCGCCCATTTTGTAATTGGCGAGCCAATTAAAAAAGCGAGCGGCTACGAGATGAGCAACTTCCCGAAAACAGAAATCATCACAGACATCGCTGGCGCTGGCAATGGAATCATTGCCTCGTATCATTGGCGGTCCGTCGTGTTAGTGAAGGCTTGGAAGTGGCCGCAATTGCTCTGGGCTGGAGCTGGCTCAACTAGTCTGTCTTGGTAAGCGAAAGGCAAGCTCTGGCTTCGGCCTCCAGCACTCCCACCAGAACAACTCTATCTCAACCTCCTTTGACGCCGCCCTCGAATTGGCCTCTGTCGACTTCTTCGATTCCTCCATTCTTCCATGTCCCCGGGTTGACGGGACGACCCCTTTCTCTGCAATTGACCTCTGGCTGGCTCCTGAGAAGCTCGCGGGTGTTGTGACTCTGGAGCCCTTCGCGCTTTATTCCGTTCTTCCCACCCGTTTGTTCCGGGTTCCCACAGCCCGACCCGCTGCGCAGCTTCTCAGCCAAAGTTCCCAACGCTCCTTTACATCCATTTTTGCGAGTACATAATTACCATAACCTAATTGCCATTCTTTTAATTTGTTTTTTGGTTTCCGTTGCGGGGGAAAAGCGACCTCAAAGGCCAATCGAATTGTCGAAGCAAATGTCCAGAACGAGTATTCTCTTCCTCGGTGGCAATGGTCACACAAAATGGAAATGCCAGATACCATCCTCCCGATAGTCGAAACGATGTCAAGGGGCCTCAACAACGCCATGGCGCGTTTCCGCATCCATTAACAAAAGTTACCACTTCCGGTCTTCCCCAAAATGGCCCTCCCGTCAGCCCTGTCAGTCCCTACCGCGCATATCAACCCGGCAGATCTCCGACCTACCAACCTACCATTCCCGAAGCCTCCTCGAGTCACCTCAATATGGCCAATGCCCCTCCAACTCATCAATCGCCTACGAGCCATACTAGTCCCACTTACCGATCCCCGACGTATCAGGCGGCCACTGATCATGATAGTCAATCGTCATGGCTCTCTAGGAACGAGATGGAAAGGAGGCGACCAGCACTACATAATGGGAACCCTCGAATTGGTCTAAAATCTACCGCGTCAACTTCGAGTATTCGCCCAATGCAACATTCGCAGTTCCGCCTTGATCAGCTGCCGTTTACTTCAGGCCCTGCTCAGCTACGTTTCCCACCTCACTATCATCCGCCAGACGTTCGCATTGACAGTGAAATACGATCCAGTTCGCAATCTGCTTTGACAGCATCGAGCGCAGAACCAACTAGTGGTACAGAAAGAAGCAGCATTGTTACAAAAAACAGTTCTGTCACTGATTTATCGCCAGAAGAACCTGATATAGACGGAGGATGGAGTGTTGAGGACGCTATATCACTGTATCTAAATGGCTTTACTGATGATCCCCCTGACCCTGCGACTGGTTCTCCGACATATGTTGGAGAAATACCTGAGTCCCTGGTGAACGAAGCACCTGCGACCGGAACACCGATGAATGAGGTACCAATGATTGAAAGCCAAGTCGCTGAACGTCAAAGGTCTATGGAACTCCAGGAGGCTATAAACAGTGACATGGCTCATCCCGAAGCTCCTATAGCAGTTGAAATAAAACCTATACACGCCTCTTTCCAGCGTCAACCCATGAGGTTGGTAATACCTCCTGCACTTCCGGGTATAGTTCCACCCCCACGATCTCCTGCAACTAGCCTACGTGATCAATATGGCTTTCAAAGATCGTCAAGCCATATCTCACCCAGTGGTTACGATACTTGGTTTCGCTCCTATTCTGCTTATCAAGAGACCCGGAAACAGAAGTGGGAGGGGCTATTAAAGGAATATGGCTTGCCATGTGATAACCCTCCTACTTTTCCACCAAAGTCTGCCAAGGTCAAACGCTATATCCGGAGAGGTATACCCCCTGAATACCGCGGGGCAGCTTGGTTTTACTATGCAGGGGGTTACGACCGCTACCACAGATTCCGTGGTCGTTATCACCAGCTAGTCGAACAGACCATGAATGGACCATCAAATGACGACAAGGAGCATATTGAACGAGATCTTCACAGAACATTTCCGGATAACATCCACTTCAAGCCAGACCCTATACCCCAGCCAGGAGTCCATTCCTCTCCGGATAGCGGCAGCAGTAATCCAAAATATCTCTCTAAAACCCCAGAAGCCGAAATCATTCAATCATTGCGCCGTGTATTGTATGCATTTGCGGCGCATAATCCAAAGATCGGCTATACGCAGTCTCTCAATTTTATTGCGGGGATGCTTCTTCTGTTTCTTCCAGAAGAGAAAGCGTTTTGGATGCTTGACATTATCACATCATCCTACCTGCCTGGAACCCATGAGATCAGCCTTGAAGGCGCAAATATTGATCTCTGGATTCTCATGGTGGCTTTGAAAGATTCAATGCCTGCAATATACACTAAGGTTGCTAGCACAACGCCGACCACTCCCAAGTCTAAACCTCCACCAATCAATACCAAAACACGACTGCCCGACATTACTCTTGGCCTAACGAGCTGGTTGATGTCTCTGTACATCGGCAGTCTACCACTTGAAACCACGCTGCGCGTATGGGATGTTTTCTTCTATGAAGGGTCTAGAACCTTTTTCAGAGTCGCTTTGGCAATTTTCAAGAGCAGCGAAAAGGAAATACTCAGTCTCAGTGACCCGATGGAGATTTTCCAGGTGGTGCAATCTGCACCAAAAAAACTTATAGATGCGAGTGCTCTGGTAGACGAGTGTTTCACACGGCGATTCAGGCTGACCCAAGCCCGCGTCGAGGAGCTTCGTGCCGCCCGTAGAACCGCAATCAGGGAAGAAAAGGACCGACTTTCAATGCTGGCTAGTAGGGGGAACGCCCAATCTGGATCCAATGGATTGTCCACTGCTCGGGCGACAACCCCATTACCTACATCTTGGAGAAACCTGAAACACACGTTTAAATGAGCTGATACCCATTTCTTCTCTTTCTCCCATATTATCTTTAACTTATCCCTTCAATGCATTTTTGAATCTCGTCTCTTTGCCAGTGCTCGCCCCAAATTTTGGCACCTGTAAGATAGGCTAATGAGAAGCACCGAGAGAGAAATAAGAGATTTTTTTGGTTAACTGCCTTGATGGTTTCAACTTTCATTGTTGTGTATTTTCTGACCCTTCTCTTGCTCAATTGCGCACCTTCCATTTACGTGGTGTGGCACCAAGCAAACACCAAATTTCAACAATGAAATAATGAGAGCACATTTGGATATGGCACTGTGGATATATATCACTCTAAATGCTATTCCAGTCCCTCAGATTATTACAAGTCTTGGCCTGGCTGCTCCAGCAACTCTCTCTTCTGAAGTTTCACTCCTCCTATTCATGCAATTGGATATTTGCATTTTCGTTCTAATTTTTCTCCTCTTTTCTTTCCTTTTCTTTCCTTTTTTTACCTTGATTGCTATTTCCCCCTCTTTCCAAATTCCGTATTCTATTCATAATTCTTTCACTATTTTTGTGAGGAGATCATTATAATTTCAGGATATGTCATCCTAGTCTCTGGAGACCCTTAGGCAAAATGCCTACCTCACTTGGCCAGTGCATATTATGACCTCTCATTCGCAAATTCTTTTATTTTTCCTGTTTTTTCCAGGTCCACACTTTTATTGGCATTCCTTTCCTTCTTCACTTTCCTGTTGGCTATGTTCTTCTCACGGGCGTCTTCAAGCAAGGTTCCAACTTTTTGTACCATAGAGGATAGAAATAATCAGTTATCTTAGTTTCCAAAAAAAGAAAGAAAAAATAAATAAATAAATATCTTCCCTTCTTACATACATATTGTGACAAAAAACCGGCTTTTATATATGGAATGTCCGGGTCGGGGTTTTATTTTTGCCTTTCGTTTGCGGGGGCTATATCTATAACTATATATACATATATCTATATATATTTAAACGAGGACATCCTGATATTTTAACGAGTTCAAAGAAGCAGTTTATTAATAGAAGTGCATGGCTGTTCCAGCATCACCATCACCTACTTTAGATGCATTCTAGCAAGTTTGAACTGGGTAAATGGAATTTCCAGAGGCGAGTGAGTCTATTATTCCTGTAATTCTTTTGCTCCCGCAGGCCGAACAAATCTGCTTTGGGGCTTGTTGGTTGCTGGGTAATTTAGCATGGCATCTTCCCATCATTGGCGCCTTCGTATTCAAAGATTGCCCTGCCCCAAGAGCACACGAATGATACAGGCCCCCAACATGGGCCATCAACCACAAATACGATGGAACAGCTACGCAAAAATAAACTGCGGCTTTTTTTGGGGGGGGTTTTTTTTTTTTTCCGGCGTCTCTCTCATGCCATTTGTCAGGGCCACCAATGGTAACCAAAACCCCCCTCCTCCCCTGTGCCCCCGAGTCCGGAAACAACCACAAGCCTTGGTCCGGAACAATACAATAATAAAACTTGCGCAACGTTGGATAGTTTCCTAAAGAGATCTGTCCTCCGTTCACAGGCGAGATGAGGGTTAAACAGGTCACCGTATGCAAAGAGCTGCGTAACTGGATAGCGTCATTCACTTAATGGGCTCCTAAGGCCTTGAGTGAGGACTTTTTACGTTAAAAAAAGAGGAGCGCAGCTTGGACGAGATAGGTAGCTGCTGAGTGAGTGTATATTATACATGCTAGTATGTGTCCCTCCGCTGAGTGTATCTGGTTCGAGCCAGAAAGGGTCGGGGAGGGCAGGCCTGGTACTTCTCCCAAATGCAGCATATATCATACGCCATCAGCGGCTACGTCTGTGTTGTTATGGCTAAGTTCAACTATGGCCTGTTGGATCAGGGAGCTGGACCAAAATCACTATCTTTCCATTTCCCATGGGGCCAATGTGTCCTTCTGGAATCAACCCAACGAAACGATATCTTCTGCCATCTGGAGCAGCCAAAAAATCGCTCTAGTCGAAGCTTAGAGCGACCTTTCACCATATTCAGAGTTCAACCACAACGAGGAGTGTTAGAGGATATGAGCGGGTTGCTCCATCGAGCCCGAAGACGTCCATTTCTTATTTACTGGTGGCAGATCTTGCGCAGAGTTTCTGAAAACCCACTCACTCCCCTTCCCCTCCACCCGATTTTGATTTTTTATTTTTTTTGGCTCAAAGTTTTCCGGGATCCTGAGCCTCGAATCTCGTCGCTGACGACTATCCTCACATTGTCTGCCACGTAAGTATTAATTTCGACAACTCGAGACGAGTGAAATCTGAAATCTGGGCTTCGGGGAAAGAAATCGTCCCGCTTTGTCCGACAAAAGTAAACCCTTCGAGCGGCAAGTACCAACAAATGAATGGTCCGACAAACTCGGGTATGAGATATCTATCAGGCAATTTCTTGAAAGAACTTCCAAGATGAGAACGGTCTCACATCATTTTTTTTTTGATTTCCGCGGGCTTTAAGAAGAAGAACCCTGTTCAACGCAACCTGTCATGTCAGCGCTTTTTGCGAGAGAGGAACATGTTTGGTGTTTTTGAGCATCCGCGAACGAACCGAAATACCTCCCAGATAAGATTTGTAACTCCTTGAAAACGCCACGGTGGGGGAGGACGATATTAATTGCTGATGCACAAGTGCCCCTCCTACCTGATGTCATTGGATGCGCGAAGGAAAAGCCCGTGAAACCCGCATCGCATTGCGCTGTCGACGATAGTGAGGGAAGTCGTCTTGTGTGGCTTGGGGTGGAGTGGTGGGCGGATGTGTCAAATGTTTTAAGTCAGGCGGGAATGGACATCACATATGTGCTACGTGTTTGGAAGGCCATTTTCAATGATGGCCGACCTTGATGCGATTGGCTGGATAGCCCTCCATGGATACAGACCCTAACACATGGGACATGATGCAATTTTCTCCAGCATGTTCAGGGCTTTAGCTTGAGATTCCAACCGGCAAAAACTGCCTTCTTTAAAATTACATGTACTAGTCACCGCTCGGGGTTGGAGGGTGACAATCGCTTAGGGTATCGGTAACAGTATCTCAACACATCTCCTGTGTAGCTGATGCATTTTAGAGTTGTCAACGATTTGCTCACTACAGATGTATGGACATCAGAATTGGGTTTATCTGATCCGGGACGAACAAAGATGTTGGGTATTGGTCCTGTGGCAAGACCCAGGTGGTACCACGGAACCCAGAAAAAAAGAAAAAAAAGAAGGAAAATACAGAATTTTTTTACATGGTTAGCTTGTTTCAGGGGCTGTTTCCAGGAACAAATCGCGGAAGCAACGCCCTTGCAGCTGGAGCCGAAACAGTTCCACGGGCAAGCTTTTCGACACAACGTTCCATTTCTGACTGCTCATTCGTTTCTGACGCACGCCGGCTCGCCCCAGGTCATGAACTAGCAGGCACTAAGTAATGGCTCTAAGCGCTGGGGCGTTAGTTTGCCACCAAGGATGTTGTTCGTTGCGTATTCTTCACATGTCTTCATTTGCCAGAGCAGTCGACTCTGACGATTAGCACTGGTCAAAAGTGAGATCCGCAGTTCCTCAACTGAGATCAGGAGGGGTGACAGCATTAGAGCTTTTTTTTGCGAGGAACCACCAAGGATGGACAAGCTTGTCCCTTGAGGATCCAGCCTGCAGGAGTTGCGCGAGAGAAGAGCTAGAATACGGCTCATTTACGAATAATTTACGAATAATTTACGAGGTGAGAAGGTCTGACCACAAACGGGCGAACAAAAGAAGGTGGAGTCTGTGCTGTACGAATGGCTGGCTGTACTGCTGGCGTACTGCGTACTGTGTATCGGGCTATCCGCAAGCGCAAGCCTCTCGGCAGGCCGCGATCCGGGCGGGTTCGAGGCTCTGTCGACAACAGGCTCAACCCCCTCGCCCCTCGACGATGGCAGACTCCAAGGTTTTTCCAAACCTCCACCGCGCCAGCTAAGAAATTGGGTGATGGATCCTTCTCCACGCAGCCAGCAAAACGGCACGTCTTCCTTCTCGGTTGTGCTGGCGCTCTTCATAGCTCTCTCTTTCTCTCGCTTTCTCTCTCTCTCTCTCTCTCTCTGTGTGCACCGCTCCGCTTCCACCTCAACTTCTCCTCTTGTGCGACTGCATTGCAGGAATAGCCATTCATTATTGGGATTCGATCTTTAGTTTCTTCCTTCTCTTGCAGTCTCGCACCGATTGTCTGGCCCCTCTGCCCCACAGCCATCGCTGTCCCCGTCATTCTCTCCAGACACACAAGGATCCCGCTTCGCTGGTTGTTTCAGCGGGACCACAGTTCCTGTTTCTGCTGGCTCAGGATAAACAAGCTCTGCGTCTCCTCCCTCCGCATTCCATCCCGTCCGTGCCCTGAGGCATTCTAACTAGAAAACAAAAACACACGGACACCCAAGTTCCTGGGAATCTAAACAAGACACATCCATCTGCCAGTTGCCCGAGGCAGATCATTCCGCTCTCCCTAACGGCACTCATATTATCGTTATTTTTGCCACCTTGTTTAAGCAGCACGATTCAATTCCTTGCTAATCATAAGGTGCCCGACGCCACAGGGTGACGAGGCGTTCAGTTTCTCTCCGATCGACAGGTGCGAAGATCTGGTGGAACTGTTCCATTCATAGTTGCACACTTGCTGCCCCTAACCCAAGCCCCTTGCAGCCTCCCAACCTTCTGCCTCCTGGCGGCCTTCTCGCTGCTGCATCCCTCTCTTCCCAAAACACGCCGTCTTGTCTATGATTCCCTGATATACGTCTCCATGCCACATCATCATTCGTTTGAAATACTCCTTTAAATATATATCAATCGTTCCATCTTTGTCCATTCTCTCGGCGCTTTTTTCTTTTTTTGGGGGGTATCGCTCTGTGGCTGGTCTACAAGCATTGAACCCAAAAACCAGCTTGGCCTGGTTTGTTTCTCTCCTTCACTTCAACATTCTTTTGCGAGGTTCTCGAGGGAGCTCGCGAAAAGCAAAAAACCCATAATGAAATCTGCACATATCCTTCTATCAGTTTTTGGCACAGTCGCTGCAGCGCATGAGAAAAGAACAGACGGTGGAACAGGCGGTGGAACGGGCGGTGGAAAGGACACACATGGCGATGGCCCTTCTGCCTCTGAGCTCCTCGATGACAGGCTTGGGCGTCTATGCCTCTTAGTTGGGGGATGCATTCTCGCGTTCTTCCTAATCTGGCACAATGCCATTCGATTTTCAAACCATATACGTCGGCTTACG